CATTATCTTATGTACCTGTTCATTATTTCTATATTGTAAAAAAATTGCTGCATTTGTTTGGTTCATAGTTTATTTGCCAAAGTATTTATTACTATAAATTGGTATATATATTGTATTTATTAACTGTATATTATGTATATTTCATGTAAACTATATTATTTTTAAAATACAAACCAAAAATACGAGGAATAATTATGTTTTCCATGTATTCTATAACATATTTATTAATCCGTAGTATCCTACTAGCGTGATATCATAAATCTCGCTCCGAGGCTGTTCTATTAGAGACGGCATGGGTCTGATATTTAGAAATGTCAAAAGTTGATGACATTTTACTTTTGACAATTATAACATTTCGTATTGATTTTTGGAAGAAGAGGAAGAACTGTTATTTGTTTTATTATTTCCTTTTCTATTTCACGAAAGTAAAAAGAGTTACCTATCTGATTCGTTCAGGCACTCAATTTAAAGGATATCAGTAACTTTTTTGACAGAGGGATTTTATATTTTCCATGTTGGTAAAAAATAACGGTCAAAATTCAAAGTTATTTATTTTATAGACTATAGATATTCAGAATTGATGACTTACTGATGATGTTTACTTTACCATACATCTCATAAAATTGCCCATTCCCGTTATTTACTGACCCGCCAATAAACATAATCTGTTGTCTCAAGACTGTATATTATGTCAAATTTCCAATCATTGACATTTTCAGCTTATTCAACAATTTCAACCATTTCCAATTATGGTGTAGCCTCCCTCACATATTTAGATATTCTCTTTGTAGTTGAGCCCATTTGCCCATTGATTGTCTATTGTTGGCTACGCGGGCCCAAGTTATCCCTGCTAATTTCCTAATACCATGGTCCCATCTCAGGTTGTCTTCTAGGTCTCTTCATTCCTCGTGGGTACCGTGCTGTAATTTTTGTAGTTCATCTGTTGTCCATCCTTCTTGCCAGGTGTTCTGCCCATTGCCACTTGATTGGTTTGATTCTGTAGATGACATCTATTACCTGTTTTTTTTTGTCGTATCCACTCTATTCTTTTACGGTCTTTCTTGGTTATTTCCAGCATATTTCATTTCAATGGGCGTTATGCGACCTGCAGTTTCCTTATAATGTCCTTTTTAAATGTCCAGATTTCGCATGTATAGGTCATGACTACTAGTACACATTGGTTGAAGCTGTGTTAGTTGTCCCAAAAATATGTATTCTTCTACTATTTCTAGTTTTGTGTTATTAATTAGACTGTCTACTTATCGTCTAGTTCGTTGTACATTACTTTAGTTTTTGCTAAATTTATTTTGAGGCCTACTTTATTGCAGGCTGTATTTAGTTCGTCAATTTATGTTTGTAGTTCTTCAGGACTATTTGTATATTCGTATTTAGTGTGCCAATGCAATGTGATTTGATGTGACACTGGTCAATTTTTACGAAAACATGGCAATAATTAATATTTTTATTATTTAATATTTCGAAATAAGATGACGCTTACAGTAAACCTAATACTCCATACAATTAGTTGGCCATGGATTTGATAAATTGAATGACGTCGATTCACTGACAGCAGTTGTCAAAGTAGCAGAAAGTTTTATACAAGTACAACACGAAATAGAAATTATTTTTGCCAATTTATTTTTTTAAAACTCCGCCTGTTTTAAGTTTTTTGGTTTTGATCTTTATGAATAATAATATGGCAGTAAGTTGTTAGTCTTCACGTATTTATATATTATTTTTATTAATTTTGATGGAAGCTAGAAGCAGCGAAAAAACAATATGCCCTTTCCTGTTGCAAGCGGTTTTTCGACAAGCTTTTTGTTTATGTTCCGTTGTAGATCTTAGTATCGAATATTTTTTTTCAAATACACCAATGCCTTCTTGTAACGGCTGTGCAAAAAAATCTTGCACATATTTGCACCTTTCTTTGTAAATACTTTTTAGTGTTACAACTAAAAATTTATTTTGCCTCTTTTATCCAACTAATAAAATAATTCTTATAAAGGTGTGTGTAATATTCTTATAGGTTCTCCTTTCTACTTTTTTAGACGAAACTTAACACATCTTGGTATTAAGCCACGGCGAACTCTTCGAAATATTTCAAAGTGCTAATAAAAAGAATATTTACAATAAATATGTTGAGCTTCAGTTCAAAATATCTGAAATGATGGGTTTAAGAATTTGCCCCAAAGAAAGTAAAGTCAACCTTTCAAGATTCTTTAGTAGTTTTAAACCAAGATGGGAATCAGCTCAAAGAATTAGAAGTAGATTTGTAGAAAACAAAACCTCTTGGCTCAATGTAAAATTAAGCTTTACAAAGAAACCTGGTAATAAGGGTAGGAAACAAACCGAATTTGAACAATGTAGTGAGCGAACAAAGCGATTTAAAACGACACATTTGAGAAATAGTTCTTCTTCTCAAGAATTAGCTTATGCAGCCCAGATGCGATATAGACAAGAAGGTGAAACAAGTGCATCTAAATGAATAAAAATTTTAAGAGAAGATCCAGCAAAAGCAAAATTATACTGTGACGCATTAAAAGAGAAAGAATCTTCATATCGGAAACTAAGTTCAGACGAGCATTCTTTATTCCACTTATACCCTGTATATATTTAGTTTATGTTTCATTGTTATTAAAGCTTTAAAACACATAAATAACTCACCCTGTATACTGTATAGCATAACTGTTATCTCTATTGTCACGTCTAACAATGTTTTTAAGTCAAATAAGTAAAATATATAACTTTTCACTTAAAGATTTTTTCTTATTATTATATTATTAATTAATGCCATGTTTTCGTAAAAATTGACCAGTGTACGGCGGTTCGGTAAAATGTCGTTTTTTTGGGCGAATCATAATAATAAATATCACGAACACAATGGACGAATTTCCAAGCAAACTAACGAATCGCATCGACGAACCGTAGTACGAACCACATCATACTCACTCTGCATTCACATCACGTGCATGGACACACGGACGAATCAAATCGATGCATCGACGCATAGTAAGTATAATACTTGGGCTTATATACTACAAAATATATATTTTTGACGTTAAAAGGTATGTCGACTTCATGAATAACAAAATCAAAACTTGTAAAAATTTATAAACATTTTTAATTAAATGACATCAATGAATTGACCTACACTGCCTCAACTGCTTCTGAGAATACATGGAATATACGGACCTTCAACTGCCTCTGAGAATACGGTTACTAAAGTGTTATGTATTTTTGATCTTCCTCTATGGAATAGAGTCTTGGATGTTGAATAAGAGCGAGTTGAAAAAAATAGAAGCCTTCGAAATGTGGTGTTACAGGAGAATATTAAAAACATCATATGGGTGAACAAAATTAATAATATCAGAATGATAGAGACGCTGAATACGAGTACCGTGGTTATAAAAAGCATATAATGACCAGAAAACTAGAATACTTTGGACATCTTATGATACAGAAGAAATACCAGCTATTGCAGAACATCATGCAAGGCAAAATAGAAGGGAGACGCTGAGATGGAAGAAGAAGGACGTCCTGGCTCCAGAACTTGCGGGAGTGGTACGGAGTGAATACCCACACGTGCCCACACGTAGTTTAGAAGAACCGTGAATAAAATACGAGTTTCATTGATGGTAGCCAACGTTCTTCGAGGACACGGCACATAAAGAACAAGAATGTTGTAATTGACGTAATTTGCTAAAAATTTTCGATCAATAATTTGTTTTAACTTCGGTACGAATCGCTAATCTTAATCTTACTCAGTATAAAAAAGAGCTATAATAGATCTGTAAAGGTTGCAGTGTGGAATTTCTATCTCTTCGATCTTTAAATCTCTTTGAAAGAAATTTAGGATTGACTTACCGATGATGTTTACTTTACCATACATCTCATAAAATTGTTTTTCCCCCGTTATTTATTGACCCACCAATTAAAATCATCTCAAGACTGCCGTCGACGTAACGTAATTGCCTCAATAAACTTCCCCTCACAGAAAACATATTCATCCACCGGCCGATCGGTGGTTCGGTCTGAAGTTAGTCACGTCAAACGTCCGAACGAAAAGCAATGATGTGGGTGCATGTGCACTCGCCTCGTTGCCCCCATTCAACCCCGCCCTTAATTGGGAAATAATTCACTCCCTTTCGGCGCGCTACTTGTTATTCTTGGGTGCAAGGGGTAGGAACCACGCTGTGCGATTCAGTTGAATGGTTTTATTATATTTTTTCTTGCGCTTTAAGTGGATTGAGGTTTAGAGACCTTTTTTTGCGTGGTTTCTCGATGGTTTATGGGAGAAAATATTGTTAAAAATTTTTCTCTCTTTTTTTTAATTGGTTATATTTTAATGCGTGACTTATTTCAGACAATTGTTGATTTCAGACAACCTTTTTAGTGAGAAAATATTTTTAAAGATTTGTTCTCCCTTTTTAATTGATTATAGCACAGATAAGTCATAATCGGTGATTATAGCATACGATCAAAAAAAACGGCGTCAGAGACGGCTGGGGAATGACAATGGCTGATAATTTTGGCGAGGTCAAGCCTAGACGTCGTTACTTGTCCTGCACTCTTCGTTATTTTTAATTGCGCTTACTGCCAGTTGGCCTTAAATAGGTTGCAATTTATCTTTATATATTGAGTAAAAATATATTTTAGGAATAGATTTGTGTCTGAAAACGTTCTATCTTTTAATCTTTCTATATAAGTGTTAATGTTTGACAAGTTTCATGTAAAATTTTAATAAATGACGTCTAGAGGTCGACCTCGCTAAAATTATCATCGATTACCGCAGCCGTCTATGACGCCGTTTTTTTTTCGATCATACTGTATCTTAATGCCTGATTTATTTCAGACAATTGTTGCATTTCGTTGCTTATTACTATTATAATAATTCCTTCAAGCAACTATTACTATAAAATATCCAACCTATGAAGTTCTTTGTTAAACCGAAACTCGCTCTCACTCTATTTCACCGAAAAATAATCTCTTTGTTGTTACAGGTGAAAATCTGGTTCCAAAACCACCGGTACAAGTGCAAGCGACAGGCCAAAGAAAAGGCTATGGCCGAGCAAAATCAACACAACCAGGTAAGGCACTTCTCCTTCTCTCTCTAACTACCTTTCGATTTCACCATTGAAAGGGTCCCAAAGAAATAAGTGAACATAGAGTCGCCGTCATTCAAGAATTACATAAATATAATTAATTGTGATATGGTCCTATAAAATATATTTATCTATAAAAAAAAAAAACTGAATAGTATATAATATCATATGTATTTTAGATCATATATATGATCCAGACACAATATACCGGCGGACCAGAGCTATACTGCATAGTGCTATTATTGTCCAAAATACTAACTTGCAGCCTGCATAAAATCTATTAATAATGTCTATACTTTTGTGGCGGGTTAATTTCTTGAAAAGACTTCTAGGGTTTTCGCTCCTAGAACAAAATCTAAAAAATATAATTGTTATTTTTTGTAAACATCACTGGCGTTGATCCAACGGAGACTAAGTTGTCAGTGGTATTTTACTAATAAAACAAATTTGCCTAACCAACAAGAAATGCTTAACGTTTCAAGAGGTAAGATATATTTCCTCCCTTCCGTCCGTCCGTCGTCTGAAGCAAAAAAAACACAACGAACAAAGAAAAAACTATTTTAAATATCTGAATACTATTCAAAAACACTTTAATGCTGGAAGTACACACTCGCCGAGGCGATCCGAGGTGTACATTGGATTGATTTGGTCATCGAAACTGTACGGTCTGGATTTTAACGTGTAAGACAGTGATGTAAACAGCTTAATGGAAAATCAAATGTATTAAAAAGAGATAAAAACTGGGCCGACACATTTCTTCTATATTGCCGGATTTTGCATCAAAATTTCAAACCGCCCAAGTAGGCGTTTACGAAAAATGTTGCATTAAGAGCGCTTGCACATACACCGGCAAAATCGGTGCCGGAGTCGGCGCCGGCTTTGCACCCGTTACGACAGTTGTATTTAATTCTATTGTATTTGCCGGTCCCCGACTATTTTACCGGATCGGAGTATATGTGAAAGATCTAATTCATTTAATATTGCAATCGACTTCAGGTCCGGCACAGGCACCGATTTTGCCGGCGTATGTGAAAGCGCTCTTAGGGTTGGATTTTTTTTTCACTATTTTCACTCATTCTCCTACAGCTGTAATAGATTATATTTAGTTTAGATATATTATCATCATTTCAGTAGTATACATGAAAGTTTTTAAAATAGCTTATATTTTTCTACACACATTTGCCAACAAACGTAAAAAACCGGCGACACTGTATGCCACTTTTGATTTTGTCTCTCTGTCTGTCAACGGGTCATTTATATTATTCTCTGTCACCCGAATTAAAATCCAGACCACATAAACCAGCAGGGTACCTATATTATATTTTTAGAACGCTCATAACAAGGCAAATAAAATACAAATTAATATATAGGGTATCCCGTTTAAAAAAAAAACATAAGTTTGGGTCACATTTCAAGAATGGCAGCTCCCAGCGGCAATATAGTTGCGAGACTGATTTCTACGTGAACTTCCTGTGAAAAACTAGTTACGCCACTAGATTCTATGTGAAAAGCTGTATGTGACTCGTGTTTTCAGCTTTTCGATAAGTTATAAAATAACTGAAATACAAAGGATGAGAGGATCAAAGGTCGACAAATTAATGCAAAATTTGCAATTTCGCCCTGTGACTACGACAAATCTGTGTGTAGCATCTTTAGTTTCGTAGAAAAGTAACAGGGATGGAAACCGCATCTTTGTATCTCTACTTTGACCCGAAAAGTTATACAGGGCGAGACAAAATTAATATGGAACATTAGTCACTTTTAAAAGCAAGTTACTCCTTTATTTTAAATGGAACACCCAGTATATTATACTGGTATTCAATAGGGAATTTATATGTCTTCAAAATATTATTAAGGTTGACGAGAAAATGGTTGCCATAAACGAGAAACCCTATAAAACACACGAAAATGAGATACCCTGTACAGTAAGGTTTATCGATTTGTATTATTTTTTGAGATTAGTTTAGAGTATTTCTAGATTTACTTATTTCTCTGACTCCCCTGGGTTCCAATACCACAATAATAACGGCAACAACAAAAATCCCCATTCATTAAGACGGAAGAATAGAATTATTGTAGCGTGGAAGGAATGTTTTGAGAAGAGATGGGCTTTAATCCTATTAAAATATGACTTTGCGGGTTTAGTCGTACCTTTATTTCGTAAAGCATTAAGACGTTTGGGTTTTCAAAGGGACGGAAGAAATTTCCAGTATGACATAGGTACCTACCATATGATCGAAAAAAAATGCATGGGATATTAAAATAGCTGTCATTTTATGTGCAAAATTAAATAGAAAATGTCGTTGATCATCATTTCCAAGCCAACTGGACGCCATTTTGTCATCATAGGGTATTATACCGGGTGTATTCCGAAAACTTGGGCAGCATATTCTGCAGATAAAAATAAGTAAACAAGCTCGTATAAATGTATGTCCTAAAATGCGTATATAGTTTCGCAGATACAGGGTGTAAAAGTTTCATTTTTATTTCGATTTTTTCCAAATAGTTTCTGAAGTAACGTCAATATTTTTATGAAAATTGGTGTCCGAGAGTTATTTGACATGAGAATTGAATTTGATTTTGATATCAATATGACTCCCACCGGTAGGGGGCGCCACCTACATATTTTTTAACTGGTTTGAAGAGTAATACATTTTCGTCCGTACCTGTATATAACTACTGACTAAAAAGATACATTTACGAGGTTTTTTACTTAAAAAAGGTCTCTTGGTAAAAATCGCTACGAGTAATGGTTCTCGAGATATTTGGAATCGAAATTATCAATACCTGTGATCATTGACATAAATTAAACATGTTGACTAAATAGTTATTAGACTGAAATAATAAGTTTCAAACGTTTTTGTGCCAAAAGTTCAACAGAAACTGTTCTATCATCATTCGAAGTAAAATTTATGATTAATTTAAAAATAAAAAGTTCCCAAATTTATCATTTCAGTCAAATAACTATCTACTCAACATTTGAAGCATTCCCTCGAATAAGGGTTTATGTTGCATTTTTCAGATATTGGGATTTTTGCACAAAAAGGGTCTCTGTAGACAAGTTGATCCTTTTACAGTAATAAATACCCGCGATAATGTGCCATCATCTATGAACAACATGCGGCACCATCTTTTCGAGCATGGAATAAGGGTATATGTTGTCACATTTTATTCAATATCGTATATATGTCGAATGTTCAAGTCACGCCGTCGCTTTGCAAAACATTAAATAAAGGTCGAAAACGAAAAATAAATGTAACTGAATGGAGGTGTATTAAAAACAAACGGTTAAGAAATGTACAACTTACACAAAAAAAAATGCAATCTAAATTGATTGCCTGCAATAAGGGTTTATGTTACATTTCACATAAACCCTTATTCCCGGGACTCGAGAGTTTATTACATATCGTCCTATTGCTGCCAAAAGTCACTAACTAACATTTTTCCGAAGAACCAAATTCAATCATTACCTATGTTTTGAATCGGAGAATCGATTGCAAATGTCATTAACTACGATTTCTGGCTATTTATGTTTTATTTTAATACCGAATAGTTACTAACTATAACATCTTTATGCAATGCAATTCATCTTTAGACGCATTTTTCTGAAAAGTAATAAAAAGTAAGTTAGTGACTTTTGGCAGCAATGGGACGATATATTATCTCTAATACTGGTTTATTATTATTTGCGTTGTGCAACTTTTTATATCTGGGGATTAATAAAGTTGATGTTAGTACAACTTGAATATTATTATCAATACGCAAACCGTAGAAAATCGTTTTTCTTCATTTACTTAAAACTTACTTTTGTAACATAGCCCCTTTTTCGAGGGAAGCCTTCATTTATCAATAATGACATGTATTGAGTATTTCCACTCTAAATATCTTGAGAACGGTTGCTCCTAGCGATTTTTACGTAAAAAATCACGAGAATGTACATTTTTCACTCAGTAGTTTTATACGGATACGAACGAAAATTTATTACTCTTCAAAACAGTTAAAATACATATAGGTGGCGCCACCACAAGTTCACACAACAAACAAAAAAATTCAAGACACCAATTTTCATCCAAATATGATGTTACTTCAGCAATTATTAGGAAAAAATCGAAATAAAAATGAAACTTCTACATCCCGTATCTACAAAATTAAGCATTTTAGGACATACATTTATACGAACTTTTTTACTTATTTTTATTTGCAGAATATGCTGCCGAAGTTTCCGGAATACAGTTCGGACCACCCATATCTAAAACAATTCTTAATACAGATAATCATTGATTAAAACCGGATATATTTATTACTGAATTCGATTTCTGCAAACATTTTACATTTTTTATTTGTTCTTCACAGTCACAGTTTCGACGTTTCATAACAATTTTATAATTACTAATAATTACTAGACAAGCATTTTTGAGACATAAATGAAACATGATGTGTTTAGCTAAAAAAAATATATGAAAAATTAATTAGCAAATATTTGTGTGTGTGTTCAGATTATACATATATTATCTTTAAAACAACTTAAAATGTTAATTGGCTTTAGTGCTGCATATTTAAAAATGGAAATAAACTAAACATAAAAAAATTGTTTTCTCATGCTGACATTTTGTTCTACTCACAGTGTCTTAGAATAATATGATATGCCTTATTTGAATGTTTTTTTAGAAGAATAGAGAAGAAGGAAGTGATATATCGAACAATCGGTTTAAAATAAAGATACCACAGTATGTCTCCGGATTGTCTTTACAAGTGGAAACACTTTTTTATTATTGACATTTTGAGAAAAATGCATTCTTCATAAAAAAATTTGCTTGTTCCAAAATGGTTAATCCCGTTTATACTTTTCCAAATTTCCATACCGTTTTAGATAAAGCTAAAAGAAGTTAAGTAAAAAATACTAAACTATTCATAAATATACGTAAAAATTAGGTTTTGATTAAAAATATGATGACCTTAACAATCCTGGAGCCGAATCTTAGACT